GGGAAGGCCTGGCCCTGGCCCGCAAAATCATTTGGTTTGGCCCTGCCAAGGCATTAGGGGTGAGTTAATAAAATGCTTGACCAAATATAGTAGGCTAATTTTTAAGTTGATAAATTTGTATGGTCTGAGAATATATATAATAAAAGCATAAGCGACCGTTAAGGCGGAACAACTAGAACGACCAGTTGCTATGATGTGCACTGACCACCAGGGGGCAGACACTCAATGCAGAAGTTGCCCTCTGGTGGTCAGTGAGCTCCCACAGGGGGAGCGCTGCTCAGACAGAAGTTGGGCTCAAGGCTGGCGAGTGCACCTGTGGTGGCAGGAGCCTCTCCGGCCTCTGCAGCAGTGCTAAGCAGCAGCGAGCCGAGTGGTAAGGAGCAGCAAGCAGGCGGGTGGTAAGGAGTGAGGGGTCCCAGATTGCGAGAGGGATGTCTGACTGCTGGCTTAGGCCCGCTCCCCATGAGCAGGTGAGCATCCCCTGAGGGGTCCTGGACTGTGAGTGGGTGAAGGCCGAGCTGAGGGACAACCCCCCAGGTGCATGGATTTTGTGCACTGGGCCTCTAGTGATATTACTGGTATAAATATCCAAATGGCCCTTGGCAGAAAGAAGGTTCTTCGCCCCTGTGCTAGGGGGACAGAGAGAGGTGGCAGGCTAGATTAAATTACTGATGAACGACAAACAAGTAAGACCTTAAGAGAATACTGATCCTAAACCCCAGTGTAGAAAAGCAGACAGAACATGCCCATCCTCCACCACTGAATAAATGTCCACAGGGTGAGTGCTCACTAGCCCCTGGCACCAGCCCCTGCAGATAACCTAAAGCTATTGTCAATAGCTGACCATGAACTGAGGGAATATTGCATCTCTTGCCAGAACCACTAAACCCCTCTTTCAGGCTATAACAGAATTCTGTTAGACCCATGTGCCCAAACCCTCCCAGAGGCTGTCAGGTCTACATCCACACCCTCTCACAACCCTCTTTTCCTTGGTCACCACCCAGAGCTCGTCACTCCAGTCAGCAGTCTGGTCTCACCTTTCCTAAAGCCCCCTGGTTCCTAAGGCTTGGTTCTGGGCTCACTTTCTTTGTGCCTCTACATCCTGCTCTCCTGCAGCAAGTTCACACTCCCCCAGGCTTCGAGGCCATCGATTTTAGGGATCAGTGAATCCCAAATGTCTGTCTGCAGGTGGAATCACTTCTCAGCTTTACATCCTTCTATGCAATCACCTACTCAACACCTCTATTTGCCTATTTTATGGGTGTCTGAAACGCAATATGTTTAAAACGAAATGTATTTTCTCTCCCAAACCTGCTTCTCCTCTGGGTTCTCCATGTTAATAAACGACTCCAGCTTATGCCAAACTGGGGTTCGTGTTTCTTCCTTGCTTCCATTCACCACCACCTCTACCCGTGATGAATTACATGCCCTGACATTTTGTTCAATAAATAATTATTGAAAGCCACCTAGTTTCAGGAAGTTTTCTAGGCACTGGGGAGAGTTTAGAACAAAAAAGACAGAAATCGCTGTTCCCTGTGGAGCATATGGTATGTCTTAGTAATATCAGCTATGTGGTCCTAACATTTTGTCTGGCGATTTAGGGTGTGCTCCATAAACAGCATCTGTCTTACAATATTTAAAATGACAGAGCCCTGGCCGGGTGATTCAGTTGATTGGAGTGCCATCCGTACACCAAAGGTTGTGGATTTTATCCCTGGTTTGGGAGCATACAGGAGGCAATAGATCAATGTTTCTCTCTCTCTATGTCTCTCTCTTTCAAATAAATAAAACATATCCTCAGATAAGGATAAAAAATAATACAAATGAAATAAACTGAAGGAGAGATTAACCACTTTTTGAGCAAGGAATTGCATCACACTTAAAGAGTAACCAAGCTTAAAGAAACTTGAATTTGTTTCCAATAAAAAAATATTTTTGAGGGTGTTAGAAATTTCTAGTCTGGAGACCTAAAGAGATTAACAAAAATTGTTTCTATATATTGAAGTGCAGTGATGTGAAGGGCCCTATAGTGTTCATTAATTAATTTAAAAAATATCTAGTGAACATCTGTGTTGAGCTAGTCACTGTAGATAGAACTATCAAGAACTGTGTATGATTTTATCCTATTTCCAAGCTAACACAGTTTCATGAACGATGGTAGAAAGTACTGGGTCACAGCCAGGAGCCTGAATATTCTATTCCCTTCAGTTCCCCCTGCCTCCCAAGTCCCATGGGGCTACTGCACATACAATGGGTTTGTGTCACAACTGAGGAGCCACAAACTTAGGAAACCTCAATCTTTTATAATGAATAATAAGCCTAAATGCCCAGCCTTTGCCCCAGAGGGAGATGGTCTTTAAGATAGCCACAAATCTGCCTTCTTCATTGGAAGGATACAACTACCTCAATATTCCAAAGCTTGTCCCTATGCAAACAGCCTTGGAAAAATAGTTGGGGGGGGGGATTTTATTTTAAGGAATTGGTTCATGCAATTGTGGGGCTGCCATGTCCAAAATTGACAGGGTAGACTGGAGAGCCAGGGAAGAGCTGATGGTGCCATTCAAATCTGGAGGCAGCATTCCTTTTTCCTTTCGGAACATCAGTCTTTACTCTGAAGTCCTTCAACTGATTGGATGAGGCCCACCCACAGTATGGGGAGTAATCTGCTTTACTCAAAGTCTACTGTTCTAACTGCTAATCAATCACACCTAACAAAATATCCTTACAGCATCATCTAGACAGGTGTTTGAAAGAAAACTAGGTACTATTAACTAGTCTGGCTGACATTAAATTTACCATTACAATAGTCCAGAACAAAAGCAAGAGACACTCGTGGAGAATTGTATCCCAACATGTACTTAATGTTTAAAACTCATTAATTACTGTGTCTTTAGACTCCCCCTGCCCTCCCTCCATTTTAATTTTATTAAGCAATTATGAATTTAATCTCACTCATTTTGCATTTCTTCAGCTTTACTCTGAAGTTGGTTCTAGGTGCTTGGGGCAGTTTCAGTCCTGCCTTTTACGGCACTCACCAGACAAGAGTACGTGAAGGGCTGTGATGAAGGTGTGCACAGGGTGGTTGTGGGAACAGGTAATGCAAACAAAAGAAAAGGGAAGAGAAGCTGAGCCCTCCCAGACCCATCCATAGATGTCTCTGGAGAGTAATTTTATAGGGTGACCAAATGTCAGTGATCACCCGGAAAACGGGATGCAAAGGCTCACATATTAAGAGTAGGGGCTGGTAGTTCATAGTTAGTTAGTGTCATTCTTTACTATTCTGTTTCCTGGCTGATTTCAGAAGGATTGACAAGATTTTGGCTTCCACTCCTTCTCACTAGAGGCCGCCTTCCAGGGCCCCCTCCGCGGTGCCCCTCCACTCGTGACCCCGCCTTCGTCCTCTTTGACCTCACCCTCTCAGGCTCCGCCCCTTTCTCCGTTCCGGAAAGGCCTACCGCGCGCTCCTCTCCTCCCGGCCCGGGCCCTGGCGCGGAGGACTGTGGGAGCGGCTTCCTTGGATACGCGCTTGGCAACGACCAGGCTCCGAGCTCAGCCTGCGCAGCGTCTTTGATTCTCCAAAACTCCGAGTCGCCCGGACTCCACTCACGGTCGCCCTGCTCCCCTCATCACGAGGTAGGAGAAGGGCCGGGGGCAGGGGCGCCTCGGGAGCCGGCGCGGGCTCCCCGCCTCCTCGGGGACTCGGGGGCTGGCTTGTGGGGGCCGCCTGTGGCCTCTGCCTGCCGAGCGGCACCTCCCTCCAGGGCCCGCCTGTCCGCCGGGAACGCGGGCGCCCTTTGCCATCAAGTTTGTGTGGCCGCCTGTCCCAAGTCATAGTCACTCCTGAATCAGGAAAGCTGGCACCGTGAGCACACGCCTTTAATGTCTGTGTCGTGTAAAGCTTGCGAAAAGTGGTCCCAGGAAAGGTGGAATTCGTGAGGTGTACAAGCACGCAGCAAGATGTTCTCACTCTCCCAAAGGTGAAAACAGCCAAAGATCGGAAGTGCTGTTTTCCCCAAATCCCTTCTAGGCCTAAAATCCCACTTTCTCTACAGGGTCGATTTCCTGGCTGTGAGCTTTAATAGGAACTACAGTGGGCGTGTTGGAAGCAGATTGTCCAGCATAGTCAGCAGAATATCATGAAAACAAATACCCTTCACATTTCAAACAAAGGTTTTGCTGGCATTCGATTTTACATTGAGGAGCATACCCCACCCAGGTCATTTCAACACTTCCAGTCTTTGGCGAGGCTTTTGCTACGCATGAATTTTTTTTTGAAATAGCTTGGAGAATCCAGCAAGCCAGAGTTGTTACCTTTGTTCTGCCACCCCTATCTGTTTGCCGTGTATGGATACTTCTTTTACTATTTCTGGCTTGACTTTACACATCTTTCAAGTGTGTGCGTTCACTCGCTATAAACTTTTCAATCTGGCTGCAACCCAGCAGAAAGGATGGAGCTCTGGTTCTAAAAGTTGCTGTTTTTATGACGTACGTATAAGCCAAATTAACTTAAACAGGGCTCATAATCAGGCAGTTCTTGTTCAGCACAGCAATCCTCAAAGTGTGGTCCTCAGACCAGTAGTGTCAGGAGCATTGGGAACTGGTTAGAAATGTACATTCTCAGGGGCTAATGGGGTGCTGATGACTCCCACCCAGGACTTACTGAGCCAGAAACTCTCGGAAATACTGAGTAGCAATCTGTATTTGATCTGAAGTTGGAGAACTTCCATATTGCTGTATATGTAATCCCAATGAATTATTATTATTATTTTGTTAATGCTCACCCTAGGATATTTTCTCCATTGATTTTTAGAGAGAGTGGAAGGGAGGGGGAGAGAGGAACACCTGGATTGGTTGCCTCCCCCCACATGCCCTCACCCGGGCTGGGGATAGAGCCCGAAACTGAGGCACATGTCCTTGACCAAAATTGAACCCGAGACCCTTTTAGTCATAGAGCCAACACTCTCACCACTGACCCAAACTGGCTAGTGCTCAATGAATTATTATTATTATTATTATTTTTGGCTGGGTACAGTGAACTTTATTGATGGTGCACAACAAAGTAGGGCTCCCTATGCCCCTCACCTTCTGCAGGGGGTCTGGGATGGAAACGGAGGTTAGGAGATTCTCAGTGTGTCAGGGGACCGGTCTGGGGCAAGGACTCCCCAGCAGCTGAGGGCCTCTCTTCCTCTTGCTGGGGCTGATGGTCCAGGGGACTCTTACTCCTTGGAGGCCATGTGGACCATAAGGTCCACCCCCCTGTTGCTGTAGCCATATTCATTGTCATACCAGGAAATGAGCTTGGCAAAGTGGTCATTGAGGGCAATGCCAGCCCCAGCATCAAAGGTGGAGGAGGGGCTATCACTGTTAAAGTCGCAGGAGACAACCTGGTCCTCAGTACAGCCCAGGATGCCTTTGAGGGGCCTTCTGATGCCTGCTTCACTACCTCCTTAATATCATCGTATTTGGCAGCTTTCTCCAGGCGGCAGGTCAGATCCACAACCGACACACTGGGGGTGGGGACACGGAAGGCCATGCCAGTGAGCTTCCCATTCAGCTCAGGGATGACCTTGCCCACAGCCTTGGCAGCGCCAGTAGAAGCAGGGATGCTGTTCTGGGCAGCCCCTCGGCCATCACGCCACAGCTTCCCAGAGGGGCCATCCATGGTCCTCTGGGTGGCAGTGATGGCATGGACTGTGGTCATGAGTCCCTCCATGATTCCAGAGTTGTCATGGATGACCTTGGCCAAGGGGGGGTCTTGGCTCTGCCCTTCCAGTGAGCCCCAGCCTTCTCCATGGTAGTGAAGACACCGGTGGACTCCACAACATACTCAGCACCATCACCTCATTTGATGTTGGCAGGATCTCGCTCCTGGAAGATGGAGATGGACTTTCCATTTGATGACAAGCTTCCCGTTCTCAGCCTTGACTGTGCCTTTGAACTTGCCATGAGTAGAATCCTACTGGAACATGTAGACCATGTAGTTGAGGTCAATGAAGGGGTCATTGATGGCGACAGTATCGACTTTGCCAGAGTTAAAAGCAGCCCTGGTGACCAGGCACCCAATGCGGCCAAATCCATTCACTCTGACCTTCACCATCCTGTGTCAGGGTTGTGGCTGGCACAGTGCAGGAGTAGAGGCTGTCTGACCAACAGGAGGAGCAGAGAGCCTGAATTATTTTTTTAATGCTGAATAGTTTTTCACTGCGTGAATATACCACATTTTGCTTCTCCATTGTATTGATGGGTATCTGATCTAGTTCTAATTGTGGCCTACCATCAGTAAAGCTCCTGTGAACATTGTTATACAAATCTCTTTGTGGACATGTTTTCATTTCTCCTGGGTAAAAACTTTGGAATGAAATTGCTGGGTCGTAAGAGATAAATGTTAATTTTATGAAACTGCCAGGCTTCTTTCCAAAATTGTACAGTTTGTACTCCCACCAACAATGAGTATTCCAGTTGCTCCATGTCTTTGCTGACCTTTTCAATTTAGCTATTCTGGTGGCTGTGCAGTGGTTTCAGCCTGGCACTGTCATTGACTATTACATACCCCCTTTTCCGCCCTTGATACTAAGCTCCTTGAAAATCAGGACGATGATATATCCCTCTCCAGTGCTTGTCACTGTCCTTTGATGGAATAGGTTTGGAATGAATGTGAAATAAGGGCAATGAATGAACGTTTTGACACCTACTAGTAGTTTTGAGAATTTGACTTGAAAAAAGTTTTAAGGCTGGAAAAATGTGTAGAAGTAAATTTGACCAGAAAAGTTTTTAAATAGTTATACTTTATTTCAATTAAGAATTATTTCTTATCCCAAGAGCCTATTGACACTGCTGATTTTTCCTAGGTATAGATGATGCAGAATGTACACCTGGCCCCAGAGACAGATGAAGATGACCTTTATTCTGGTTACAATGACTACAATCCAACCTATGATACTGAGGTAAAAAAAAACAACTATGTTTTTTACATTGGTTTTTGTTAAGCAGCTGGTTCATGAAAACTTTAAATTAACTAAGTTGTTTAAGAGGTTAGAAAAGTGCTTTTACTGAAGACTCTGCTAACTTCCTTCAATAATAATAATAGTAGCAGAGGGGGAAATCATGAGAAATGTTATGGAAACAAACTAGGATGATTGGCACATACTGTATTCTTCAGTGCTAATTATCTGAATGTGTGAGTTAAAAATATTTAGATCACTTGAAGTAGCTAAAATCAGTTGTTTTTAATTTTCTAAATTTGAAATGTCATGTAGAGTTATTTTAATTCTTTTAATTAAGTTATGTAAATATTTTCTAGAAAAATTAGAAAATAGAAATAGGTATAGAGAAAAGTTAAAATCATAGAACCTGTCTCCACCAGAGATAAGCATTAACTAACTTATAGTGCTTGTCTCTCCATTTTCTTATGCAAATACGTGTATATCGCTTTATAGTTTGGGATAAAATGGTGTCATACTCTGTGCTGTTTTGTAACCTGGATTTTCTCTTTTATTAATATCCACTCATGTCAACAAATCTATATCTGCTTAATAGTTTATGGTGTGGTTATTTAAAAAGTGAAATTCGTACTAAAATGAATATTTAAAATCTTTTTACATCATTTTGAGTTATAGTTTCCAAATTGTAAGAGAGAAAAAACAAAAAACCTTTTTATAAACTCATCTTGAATTAGTGTGTGAAAAAAGGATGAAGGATGTGGGAGCTAATTTACTTGTTAGTGTATAAAAATCAAATATTAGCATTTATAGGACTTTTAACTAATTTAGGAAATCTCATTCTATTCTACTGAAGTTTTTCATATAGTCATTTTCAAATTATATTTTCCTCTAGAGAAAAATGGTAGTCTATGAATTTGAGACCTAGAAAGAAAATAGAAACTATTTACTTACTCTATATGAAACAAAAATATAGGAGATACTGATCATTGTAGAAAATTTGAAAATTACAGAAGATTGGAGAAAAAAATGAATGACATAAATCCTGTCACTCAAAGGTTACCTGTATTAGACATATCACCTGATGTTTTGCTGTATTCCTTGTCTTTTACTACATAGGTGTTTTTCTCCCAACACACACACACACACACACACAGGATTTTATAGACTCCTTTTTAAAAATTTGCATGAAAACATAGGCATTTTCCTATATTAGTATAAATTATGAAAACCACTGATATCTCCTCTTTTATTCCAGTTATAAAAGTAATATGTATAGCCTTGACCAGTGTGGCTCAGTTGGTTGGAGTGTGGTCCCATATACCAAAAGGTTGTGGGTTCGATTCCCAGTCAGGGCACATGCCTGGGTTGCGGGTTCGATCCCTGGTCAGGGTGGGTATGGGAGACAACCTATCAATAGTTCTCTCTCACACGGATGTTTCTCTCTCTCTCTCTCACTGTCTCTCTCCATTCCTCTAATATCAATAAAGAAAATAAATTATACGTATAAAAATATACATGCTCGTTATTGAAAAACAAAATTACCCATAGTTATATTATTCAGAACTAACTCCATTTAATGTTTGCTTTGTTTTTCCTTCATACATAGAGTTTTTAGCATGTTCGAATTGAACTAGCATTTACTTTTCTGTTTGCTTTTTTTACATATAGCTACATTGTGGGCATCTTATGATAGCAAAAATTGAAGTAAATGTAATATTAATGGCTATGTAATACTAAAGATGTACAGTTGTTTGATCAACTGTTTTTGATCATAGGATATTTATTTCCAGTTTTCTGCTACTATAAATAACAACAATGCAATGAACAATTTTATGCATAAATAATTTTCTGTAGTTTGATCAAACATTTTCTAGGATAGAGTCCAAAAAATGGAATGTAGATAGTTCATGAATATGATCATTTTTAAAGCACCAGAGAAACTTCCTAACTCCTTAGGTCATCACAGTGTGGCTTCATTATTTCATTTGGAGTGAATATTCAGAATATAAGAAACAAAAATAAATAATATAGTAAAATAAAAATAATATTTGCTTTACTTTGCCCATGGTTTTCTTTTCTCTTACTTAATTGGAATAATAACAAGTTTAATATATAACTGAATTACTTAAAACAGTTATTAAAATGTTCCATAGATTATGCAAGTTGTTAATGAAAAAGAACAAATTACAAAAGTTGTTTGTAATTGGAGAATTTGTTGACAATTTTTAGTTTGTCAGAATTCGTTGAGCTGATTAATCAAATTTTACCAATAGTTTAGTGTGCCGAGCCAGCTCAGCCAAGGGTTCGGCAAGCCTGAGTGGGGGCCGTGAAGGATGAAGAAAAGACAGACAACGAGAATAAGCTGGGTCTAGGTCAGTGGTGTGGCTCTTTGGCCCCTTGAGTGTGGCCACAAAGTTTCAATCGCACTGTACATGCACGCCCACATGTGGTATTTTGTGGAAGAGCCACACTCAAGGGGCCACAGTTTGCTGACCACTGGTCTAGGTGGATCTTCCTGTGCCTGGCTGAGGCCACAGAGAGAGATCCAGACAGCAAACTGAGCCTTTATTTTATAGCCAGAGGTAAATAAGGTAGTGGTCACCATAGTTACAGTGTTCTTGTGAGTTTCACTTGCTACATCTAACCTCAGCCCATTAGCTACCCAGATAAGATCTAGGGAGCCGTCATAAGGTCAAGCCTAATTATGCTAAAAGGGCTGTGCCCTCTAAGCTGGGACTTGTTTGTGGCTTTGCCAACAGGTCAGTCCGAGGCTTAACTCTATAGCCGCTCTGTACAGTTTAGGAATACTAGAAGACTTCCTTTTCCAAAAAATCTGCTGAAATACTATAATCAATTATGCTAAAGGTTGCCTTTGGTTATATACTTCATGTGAAAGTTGCTTAGTTTCGCCCTAACCGGTTTGGCTCAGTGGATAGAGCGACGGCCTGCAGACTCAAGGGTCTGAGGTTCGATTCCGGTCAAGGGTATGGACCTTGGTTGCGGGCACATACCCAGTAGGGAGTGTGCAGGAGGCAGCGGATCAATGTTTCTCTCTCATCGATGTTTCTAACTCTCTATCCTTCTCCCTTCCTCTCTGTAAAAAATCAATAAAATGTATTTAAAAAACAAACAAACAAAAGAAGTGTGTTTCTCTATTTAAAAAAAAAAGAAAGTTGCCTAGTTTCTATAGCTAACCAAGAATTGTGGGATGGAGGAAGATGGCGGCGATATAGGCAGACGTGTCCCAGGTCCTGTCCCGGAGCAAACGGAGTGAGCAGCTGAAACTAATAACACCCACCCCCAACTGGCGAAAGTGCTCAGCTGGTGAGACGATTTGCAGCCGGGAAGAGCAGAACTCCCCTGGAAAGGACTAAAGGCGAGCCAGACTGAAGAATAGAAGAACCGAAGGACCTTCACTACTGCAATTTTTTTTTTCTTTTTTCACCTTTTAACTGAGAAACCAATTGTTTTTTTTTTCCCTTTTTTTTCCTTCTTTTTTTTCCCTTTTTTTTCCTTCCTTTTTTATCCTTCTTTTTTTCCCCCTCTTTTTCT